TATATTGTATGTATATATATCTATATCTATTTATATATATTTGTGTCGATGAAGATGTGGGAATATCTGTGTGTTTTTGTGTGGGTCGTGTGTGTGTGTGTCCATATGCATGTGTATAATTGACCATATTATTTATTCATGTGTGTATATATTAGTACGTACCTATCTATGTTTGTATTGATGTATGTATGTATGTGTATACATTCACTTGATCATACTTGTGTATATGTATCTTTGTTTGTATTCGTTTGATTACTGATATAAGTATATATATATATATTTATATATATATATATATAGCTATATTACAGTTACATATATAGTTAAGTGTATCTGTGTGTATGCTATCCAATCAGACATCTCGACATGTTATTCGTCACTATCTCTGGTATAGTCCAATGATATGTTATTCCGTTTTCTTCATCAATCGTTCAGCAACTTGCTTCACCAAATAACTACTGAAGGCTGTATGCACACAGTGGTAGTCATCACTCAACGGCTTTACGCTCTGTTAGAGAGTGCATCGAATGTTTCGTTGTATATACGAGTGTCTCCAGCTTTCATTGTCTCGAATCCATCATTCCATCGGCATTAGGCCTGGATGTGCATTAGGCCTAGATGATAAGGCGGGAAGGGAAAGTGTGCTGTAGTGCTCTGACCGCCTGCAACAAGACCCGTACGGATACTATATGTCGCCTCCTGCGTGAATCACTACCTTTGCATTTGTTTACAGATCAGCCATAGCAAACACGACTCGTATCTGCAGTATCTCAGAGCCTTGACGCTGCAGTGCAATGGCGGCTAAAGTTATAGTTATAGTTATTTTTACAGTTGTCATGAAGGACTACATCAAACACGTTCAAAATATCTATTCCAATCGTCCCCTCACCATCCCCCGACCAATCTCTGTGGGAGAGTCCGCAGTAGGTAGCATTCTGTTCTGTACCTACCCATTCACGTGGCTTGGATACTTCTCGCATTGACGCAGGGCCTGGAGGATGTCGCGGCAAATATGATTGTCTTGAACGACAACATGGAGAGTCTTCTGGTTGTGGGTCAGTCTTTTGAGACCATTGGTAAGGTGTGGGGGGAGTTCCACCAGGTGGTGACGAAGGATGAAGACAAGGAGAACAATTCTTACCGTTCCAATTAGAGTCTGAACCGGAGTACACAGAGTTGCTTTTCCTATGGTTTTACGAATATTGAGGACAAGAGCAACAAAAAACCTAGCCCTGCCAATTAAGGTCGTATCCTGAGGCGGTACTGTCTTTTTTGAGGT